AGAGCTCCCTGGATAATTTATTTTTTAAGTGTCTCCTTTAAAATCTTTTAAATGGAATTCTAGCAGTGGAATAGCTAGGTCTCATGGTAGTTCTGTGTTTCACTTTTCCTAGGAACTAAAATACTGCTGCTCACAAAACATGTACCATTTTGCATTTCCCCAAACAATGAATGAAAGGTTCCAGTTTCCTCCGTCGTCTCACCATCATTTGTTTCTTTTTCTTTTTCTTGTTGTTGATAATACTGACCACCCTGTGGGAGTGAAGCGATCTTGCTTTGTGGTTTTGACTTGCATCTTTTCTGGTGCCTAATGACTAAGTATATCTTTATGTGTGTTCCTTGAATATGTGAATGTTCTCCTTAGTGAAATATCTGCTGAAATGCTTTGCTCATTTTATGATTTAATTATTTGTATAGTTAACTTGTTGAACAACCTCTATGCTGTCTGCTACTATACAATCAATGTTCTAGTTTCCCATTCTCACATAGACTAAAGAATTATACTAGGCAGAAGAAACTGGAGAAGAGGAGGATGCCTATGTACCAAAGTAGTACAGGGTACTGTAATCTTAGCGTTCCTTAGGAGAGGAGATTTTAGTGCATGGAGTATTAAAGTATGTTGTTATGTGCCATCGAAGTGCCTGTCACTCATAGCGACTCTATGTACAAACTCCCTAAACCCTGCTCTATTCTTTGTCAATCTCACTGTCTTCTACCCACCTACCCCCATTACTCCAGTCACTGAATCAGTCCACCTCATAAAGGGTCTTCCTCTCCTGCGCTGGCCCTCCACCCTCCCAAGCATGAATGATGTCCATCTCCAAGGACTGGTCCCTTCTTGCAACATGTCCAAAGTATGTCAGACAAAGTTCCATAATCCTTGCCTCTCCAGGATGAACCTGTTCATTTTCTTATCAGTCCATGGTATATTCAGTACTCTTCTCTAGCACCAGAGCTCAAAGGCATCAGTTCTTCTTCTATCCTCCTTAGTCGTTGTCCAGCTCTCTGATGCATAGCAAGTGATTGCAGAGACCTTGGCCTGTATCAGGTGTACCTTAATTTCCAGAGTGACATCATTGCTCTTGAAATGTGCAAGGAGTTGGAGTCAGAAAATCAAAAGGGCCAAACTCTTTCAGCATTTCTTAAGCTCAAGGAACTGAAGAACAAATTCAAACCTAGAGTTGCTATAATCAAGGATGCTTTAGGAAGAATATTAAATTATCCAGGAAGTATTAAAAGAAGATGGAAAGAATATACTGAGTCACTGTATCGAAAGGAATTGGCAGACACAGAAGAATTTCATGAAACAACATATTAGCAAGAGCCTATGGTGATGAAGGAAGAAGTTCAGGCTGCTTTGAAGGAAATAGCAAAAAATAAGGCCCCAGGAATAGATTGTATACCAATTGACATATTTCAGCTATCAAATGCTGCCCTGGGTGGCCTAACCAAGTGGTGCCAAGAAATCTGGAGAACAGCCACTTGGGCAACTGACTGGAAGAGATTTATATTTGTTCCCATCCCAAAGAAGAGTGTCCCAACAGAGTGTGGAAACTATAGAACAATATCATTGATTTCACATGCAAGCAAGATTCTACTGAAGATTACCCAAAAACGACCGGAACAACACATCACCAGAGAACTTCCAGAAGTCCGGTTTAGAAGGGGGCGTGGTACTAGGGATATTGTAGCTGATGTTAGATGGATCTTAGCTGAAAGCAGAGAATACCAGAGGAATGTCTATCTGTGTTTCATTGACTATGCAAAGGCATTTGACTGTGTGGATCATAACAAACTATGGCTGACTCTGAGAAGAATGGGAATCCCAGAACACTTGATTGTGCTAATGCGAAACCTATACTTGACTAAGAGGCAGTCGTCAGAACAGAGCAGGGAAACACTGCATGGTTCAAAATTGGGAAAGGTGTATGCCAGGGATGTGTCCTGTCTCCATACTTCAATCTGTATGCAGAACAGATTATCCGGGAGGCTGGGTTCTATGAAGAGAACTGTGGTGTCAGGATTGGTGGAAGATTCATCAACAATCTGCGTTATGCGGATGATACAATCCTGCTTGCTGAAACTTAGGAGGACCTGAAGCGCTTGCTGCAGAGGGTCAAGGACTGCAGCCTACAATATGGATTGAGGCTCAGTGTCAAGAAGACAAAGATTCTCATCACTGGACCAATTGGCACCATCAGGATGGATGAAGAAGAGGTTGAGATTGTTCACAGCTTTAATTTACTTAGCTTCATAGTCAATGCTTTCGGCACCAGAAGCTAGGGAATTAAAAGACGTATTGCGATGGGAAAGTCTGCTGTTAGGGACCTCTCCAAAGTACTGAATAGTAGTGGTGTCTCTATGGACACTAAGGTGCGTCTGATATAGGCCATTGTCTTTGCTATCACTTGTTATGTATCAGAGAGTTGGACAGTGACCAAGGAGGATAGAAGGAGAATTGATGCCTTTGAGCTGTGGTGCTGGAGAATAGTATTGAGGGTACCATGGACTGCTAGGAAAACAAACATTCATCCTGGAAAGGGTTAAGTCGGGTTTCTTTCAGGAGGCAAGTATTCTGAGGCTCCGTCTAGCATACTTTGGACATATTGTAAGGAGGGACTGGTCCTTGGAGAGGGACATCATGCTTGGTAGGGTGGACGGACAGTGCAGGAGGGGAAGGCCCTGTATGAGGTGCATTGATTCAGCGACCGGGGTAATCGGGATGGTTGTGTCGGAGACATTGTGATTGGCACAGGACAGATCAGTGTTTAGGGCTGTTATACATAGGGTTGTTGTGAGTCACAAGTGACTTGACGGCACATAACAACAAGAAGTTGTTGAAACTTTATATATATTTTGACTACTAGATTTTGGTTGGATACATAGATTTTGAAGCTATTCAAACAATCACTACGTTGTCTTTTCATTTTCTTAATATTTTTTTTTATGAAAATTTTTTTATTTTTTTGAAGACTCATTTATTTGGTCCTTTGCAGGTTTTGCTTTTTTTATTATTAAGTGGTTAATTCTAGACATGCCCACGTTGTCCCTGCTTCTTGTTCTACGATTTTTATCGTTTTAGGTTGTACATTTAGGTCCTTATTTTTGGTAGTAAGTTCCATAGAGTCAAATATGACACATGGTAACCCTATGAACAACAGATCTGAAGCCTGTCCTATTTTGTGCCATCCTCACAATGTGTGATACACTCAAGCCCATAGCTGCAGTCACTGTGTCAGTCCACCTGATTGAGAGTCTTTCCTTCACACTATCTCCACCTTTCCAAGGATGATGTCCCCCTCTATTGAATAGCCTTTCCTAGCAACATGTCCATAGTATGTCAGACAAAACGACATCATTTTGCCTCTGAGCAGAGTCCCATGGCAGCATCTTCTTAAAGAGATGCCTGTTTGTTCTTTTGATAGTCTATGGTCTGTATATTCAGTACTCTTCTCCAACACCATAGTTCAATGGCATGAATTTTTTTTTTTATCTTCCATATTAATGTTCCAGCTCTCAGAGATTTAAAATCTTAATCGGTTTTAAATAAGATTTTTATATGTGGTGCGAGGCATTAATTCTCTTTTATTCTTCCAAAATGATTAGCCTTTGTTGTTTGTTCTTAGTACATGCTGTGGAGTTGGAACCAAGTCATATGTGATACTCCAGTGGATTTTCAGATGCAGTAGATCTCATGAGAGTAGGATACCTGTCTTTCTCCTGCAGAGCAGTTGGTATATCCTATTCTCCTACCTCTGGGTTTCCAGTGCAACTTCTTGTTCTCTAAGCCACCAGAGTTCCTTTTTGGCTTCTTTCTGAACATGAATGGTTTCTGTTTTCTTTGTTTTGATATGAAGCACACAGATGTAACTTAGCAGTTCTTTGTTTTTCCCCCTCTTTGTAGACTTTTATTAGTTGGTGGATGTGAAACTACTGAACCAGGCACATCAAAAGCTTCTATGTGTGGCCTTTCTGCCTGGAGAGTTCTTTCAGGATCACCTTACTATAAGCAAGTCACTAATGGCGGAGACCGAGTTATTGCGGTAAGCATTTCATATTATTGATTATTGCTGTTATTTTTTACCATTGAATCAGAACTGATCCATACCTGACCCTCCTGCTGGTTTTCAGAGGCAGCAAACGCGCAAGAGAAAGCTGCTCATCTTTCTCCTGTAGAACATCTGGTGAATTTAAACCACATGCCTTCGGGTTGGCAGTTCAGTTCCTTACCACTAAACCACCAGAGCTCCATTTTACTGACTGGTCTTATGCAAAGGAATATTTTGTAATATGTGAAAGAGGAAATAAATTTTTTTTTAAAATTAATAGATGCACTGATGTTAGTGCAATTTTAATGAAAGTATTTCCCATCTTTTGACAGGCTTTCCACTCTGAAAACTCAATTGAAAGTAAGATCTGCTGTTAATTATGTACCTTCTCCCTCATCTCCTACTCTACTTTTCTTTATTGTTTACTCTATGACAGTGCTTTGAATATTAATCCAGGACATTGGATATCTGTGAGCAAACATCAGATGATGATAACATCACCTCATTATATGCTACAACATTGATGTAGTATCTATTACTAATGATAAAATGTACCATAGAAACAAAACCAAATTCATACAACCATGAGTGTGTCATAGCTTGAATATGTCAAACAGAGATTACCTATATGTCTTTCCAGTTAAACTACAGCATACTATGTTTAACTTGTTCTTAACTTTTAATTACTGTTTTCAGATATTAGAAAACAACCAAAGTAACAGTATTTCTTTATCTGTAATTACATATTTAGCTACTATTATTTAACAATTATTGTTTGTTTGAATGTTAAGGAATCCCACTGATGCAATGGTTAAGTTCTTTGCTGCTAATTGAAAGGCTGCTTATTCAAACCTACCTAGCAGAGCCACAGAGGAAAGACTTGGTGATCTGTTTCTATAAAGTTTGCAGCCTAGAAAATTATAGACACTTCTGTTCTGTCATATGTCATTGCTAATAGTGGACTTTTACTCAGTGACATTTATCATCAACAACTATTTAGAAATTTTCTTTTGTGAAGCACTTTTTTAGATGTTATATATTAGCTATTTTAGTAATCAACAGTCTTTTGAAGTATGTATTGCTACTAATGTATTTGTATTGATTAGGAAGCTAGCTGTTATTATAATAAAAGCAGTTCCATAAATAAGTGAGAAATTCTGAAATTTCACTAACGTAGCACTGTGAAGATATATTTATTACTTGTAGCACAGCCTCTTGTTTGTAGGCACAGCCTTCGTTCTTGAGCAGCAAGCTCATTCTTCAAAGATCCATGCTGTTAATCTCTAGTTCTGTTATTTCAATTTGTGACTGTAATGGGGAAGAAAAGAATGAGGAGCAGATATATTTTTCCAGTTCTTTTTATTGTATTACAAAAGGAACGGATGCACCATGAGGGGCGGGGTGAAGTCTAAGTTCTCCCCACTTTGTAAAGGAGAATTGTTCCCATCTATAATATCCATCATAGCAAACAGCTGCTCAGTCGTACACACCACCCCATGCTTCTACACTTTTTTCTACCAATCATATGGGTCTGATATTTGTTGTTGACTCACAGACTTTTATTCAAGTTGTAGTACCAAGAGTGCAGTTTTATTAGGGAAATAGGGAGAGTGGAGGAGGTAAATAAAGAATATCACCCAATGCAAGTCCAGGTTTAGTCCAACAGTCCCAAGCCAGATTAACAGCAAAACACAATTCTTCAATGAGTAAAAGTCCCGGTTCAGTAGTACAAATCCATATCATACAGCCAGATTTGCCTCAGTGCTGTTACAAGCCACCTTTTCCTTCAATCTTTCTACAAGAAAAACTTTAACTGTGGCCAGCACAGATGTAGGTTACACTTTGCCACAGTCTTTCCACAGTCTCTCCACCATCACCAGGGTCTCACCCTCACCAGGGTTTCATTATTACCAGGGTCTTAGTCTCATCAGTGTCTCTCTGGCCTCCGTTTAACCAGGGTCTTGCTCCAGTCTCCTTCAAATCTTATTACTCAGAATGGGAAGCCCTCTTTCTTTTATCCTAGTCCCACAGCTATTGATTTGCAAGGCCAAATTATTGATGAGTTTTCCTCTGATTTTGGTACTATATTTTTCTTCATAAATTTCAACTTTTAAAATTATTTGCTCCAGATTGAATATATATGGAGAAAAGATACAACGTTGACACAAAACTTTTAAAATTTTAAATTATGCAATGTTTTCATGTTTTGCTCACACAAAAACCTGTTGGTCTAAGTATAGACTTCACATGAACACATAGCCAATGTAGATCACAATAAATTATGGCCTTTGCTCAAGTTGATAAAACATAGATAGAAATCCTGGAATTCTCTGCTCTCACCTAAGATCTATGTAGCATTAGCAGTAATAGCCCTGGTGACACATCCTCTTCTAAATTCAACTTGATTTTCTGGCAGTTTTCTTTTGATGTATATTTGGACCACTTTTGAATTATCTGCAGCTAGACTAGAAGTGCTATTTTAATTTCTAACTATAGTTCATTTATTATAAATTATTATATAATCCCTCTTTCAAGAGCTCTTACAAGTAAGGTTTGCTATGATTCAAAGAAGGAAAGAATAGCTATTGATGAATATTGTTATTTTCCCCTACTACATAGATCCTGTATTATTGCTTGTATTGGTTGGTTGTACTCTTTGACGGCAAGCACTTAATGAAAATGATACACCTATTTGTACATTCTGTTTGTTAATAGACATTTGCAGCTGTTCTGATTTTGAAGTTCTCATTGAGTGAAATTTCATGTTATCTGTGATATCATGGTAAATGATTTTCAGGAAACAGCACTCCCCTAGTTGCATTTTAAGTGCCTCCTAGACTGAGGCACCCATCTTCTGGCACTATACTAACCCATGTTCCAGTGCTCTTTGTAGGGTTCTCTAACCTTCTAATTTAAGAAATCGTTTACCAGCATGGATCTAGAAAAAGTAAAAGCTATTAAAAGTAAAACGGAACACATAAAGTTAGACATCTTTTATAGTAGTGAGCTAAGATGGATTGATACTGGCCATTTTGAACCAGACAATCATGATCTACTATTAAGGGAATTATAAGCTGAAGACTATTAAGGGAATTTACAAACTGAAAGGAATATTGTTGCATTCATTGTCTACAAAGAACACTTCACATTGCTTGAATAGAACAAGGAGATATTGCATGATGTATAATCAGGGAAGGTGTGTATAAGCTTTATTTTCATACCTACTCAGTCTGTATGCTTAGTAAAGCTTTTGAGAAGCTGCTGAAAAGATTGTCATATCGGGATTGGAGGAAGACTTATCAGTAACCTGTGTTATGTGGATAACCTTGCTTGCATAAAGTGAAGGATATTCTAAACACTTAGGGGAGAAAATCAAAGACAACAACCTCCAATGTGTATTACAACTCACTGTTAAGAAAATAAAAGTTCTCATCACTGGACCAGATAGGCAACAGCCTGATAGATGGAGAAAAAATTGAAGTTGTCACTGATTTTATTTGGATCCACAATCAACTCCCATGGTAGCAGCAGTTAAGAAATCATAAGACATATTCCATTGGGCAGATCTTCTATCAAGGACCTCACCAATGTGCTGAAGAGCAAAGATGTCATTTTAGAGACTGAGGTGCTCCTGACCCAGACTCTGGTATTTTCACCTGCTGCATATGCAAATGAAAGTTAGACATTGAATAAGAAGGACCTTGAAGAATTGATTTGTTTTTTTTTTTTTTAATTGTGGTGTTGGTAACAAGTTTGGAATATCACATAAATTGCCAAAAGAACAAAGAAATCTGTTTTGGCCAGTGTGCAACCACCGTGCTCCTTAGAGGCAAGGTGGTGCTATTTTTTTTTTTCTCTCCACAAATTTGGGCATCTTGTCAGGAGGGTCCAGTGCTTAGTAAGAGACATTATGCTACAGAAAGTAGATGAGCATGAAAAGAGAAGACCGTGAACGAAATGTATTGACACAGGGACTGCATCAGCGGACTTGAGCATAATAGAGATCACTAGGCTCTAACAAGGTTTCATTGTTATTTTAGCATGAGTTGTAGGGGACACAGTGATATCTAATAACACCAGCAGCAGCAGCAGCAGCAGCAGCAGCAGCAGCAAGAACATTACTAGTACTTTACCTGGTACTTAGTAGGTACTGGTCTGTAGTGGCATTCAGGTAATTGTGAGTGAGTGGGAAGCCAACATATTAAAGTAGAACAAAGGAATGTGGATATGTTAGATTGCTTGGTTGTATAAAGAATGATAAGGTTTGTTATTATTGTATACACAAAAGTCTTTTAAAACGTTGAAAGATTAAAAGTTTTGGTTTTAAATAAACTGATCTGAAAGTGCTTCTGCAAAGAAATTTTTAAACTATTATAGTAAGATTGTATTAATTTTTGGAAGCCTTAGCTCGTGCTAAAGGACCCCAGTAGTTCAATGGTTAAACACTTGACTGCTCGCTCCAAGGTTCAAACCCAGTAGGTACTCCCTAGGCAAAGCTGTATTAGCCTGCTTCTCTGACCATTACAGCTTTGGAAACAGCTTTTGGAAACATATTAATTCTACTTTGTTATTTAGTAAACACTTTGGCTGCAGTGAGTTTGATTAAGTCTTTTATCCCCCCCTTAAATAAAGTGTTAAGTGGTGAATTTAATCCAACAAAGTAGTACGTTTCTTCCCCCTGCATGCATCTACCTTTTTGACTTATGTGGTTTCAGACTTTGAAAGTGTTTATACTCGTTGTTGATTGCTATCAAGTTGAGCGCAACTCATAGCGACCCTCTGAACAAAAGACCTGAAGTCTTTCTATAACTATTGTCTTTTCTCCAAGTTCGTAGAGTTTCCAGAGGCATGTCGTTTAGGAAGTGGATGCCTCTCCTGCTTCCAAACCAGTCTTAATCTGGGAGCTCCACCAAACACTGTCCACCATGGATAACTGTTTTGGAATTGGCACAAGGTTCAGCATCACAGAAATCCCAGGTTACCACAGTACAGCA